ATAAGTCAGTATTTCTGCCAAACATACAGATTTTTTAATCCTAGAAAACTATAGAATTGGAAAAAAATAAGAGATTAAATAATCAACACTTTTACACAAGAGGAAATTTACTAGGGAGATCATCTAACCTATACAAAAATTAGCAATTGATTACCTTGTTTACCAAAGTATCTTAAACTTTACAAAAGAATTCGTAGTAGTCCTTTAAATAGCTATCTTTAGAGTATCTCATGATAAATTTTATATACTGTTCCTTCTCAAGATCACCTCATTTAACATATGATAGAGAATGACTTGGGATTTAGATGAGGTGTTCAGTATCCCAAACAAGTGCCTCCGACACAGCTTATAAGCATCAAATATCATGTTAAATACCATACAGAATTTTTAAAAGACTCCTTGCTTCTGCCTTCAAGGAATAGTCACATTCTACCTTTGGGCATATTTTCCCATTTTAAAGTACAATTTAAGGTTAACGGGAGCTCTGTGTGATGAAAAGGAAATGACTTAGTGAAACTGTCCATGAGCCTCATCCTTCCAGCCAGCAGTTAGGTATGCCAGGCCCAAATACTTGTCTTAGTTATCACCCTTGGTGCCACAGTTAAAACTAGGTCATTGTTGAGAGAAGCCAATTTGAGTTGCTAGTCTAAGGCATTACTACGTGCTCCACAGATGGACGGCTTGCAGCTTTGGGCTCTCCGAAAGTGGGTACAGCAGAGCATCTGCAGGGAGGTGCTCTCACAGGTTCGAAGTCAAGTGGACAGCCAGCCTAGAGTAGGGGTTTCAGGTGCAGATTTGCACATCAGGTGGGGACCTGATCACAGTGTATAACACACATCTTAATGACTGAACCTCGCCTGCAAAATACCAGCAAGATCCTCAGCAACCTAGGCCCTTCTTGGCCTGTGAGTGAGGCCAGAGCAAGCCTGCAGATGGGGTGAAATGTCAGTAGTTGTGAAGCCTGGAAAATTATAAAGGCAGGGAGTGCCAGATTAATCTTTGGGTTTTTGTTGTTTTGGAAGATTACATCACAAATGTTTCCTGCTTTGGGTACAATTGTTACTAATAGTGAAAGCTTATCTTTGCAAAGTGTTTTCAACTTTTATCAAAATGCTTTCACAAACATGTAATCTTGCCTTCACAGTGAACCTGAGAGGGTTGAATGGGTATAATTATCCCATTTGGCAGATGAAAAAAACAAGGCTCATGGATATTAAATAACCTGAAGGTCACTTTTTTGGGCTCTTGCTTTTTTTCACTATACCGTGCTGTCAATGCTTGACTCCATGTTTATTTCTAAATTTAGAAAGCATATAGCCTGTTTTCCAGCAGCTCTTGCTATCTTAAGGACTGCCAACATTTTGTTGCTTATCTTTTTTACCTCCTAAATCACAAGCGTAACTTTTGTTCAGTACTGAAAAGTAAGCAAAAACAAAACACTATTCCATCGTGACTTATCAGGTTAAATTAAAATGCTCTCCTCTGTGATGGTCTGTCAGTAATTTTTGGAAGTGATACTCATTTCCGCAGTCTACCCTACCTTGTTTAAACCTCAGTTAACTTCGCTCTGCAACTGTTTAGGTATCTTGTGGTAAACCATATACAAGTCCAGACGAGAAGTTCAGAATTAGAGCAAGTTAAACAAGACTTGCCAGCATTGTTAGTTGTTGACATAGGATTTGTTGGTATAAATCATGAGTGCCTGGTTTTTCCAACTTTCATTTTACCTGGCAAGCCTCTTCTGTTTTAGAGCAGCTTCCTCATGGCTGCTAGTCATCTATGTTCCTTCCTGTTACAGTTCCTCTCCATGTCTCTCTAAAAAGTGTCCTAGAGTTCTTCCTGCAGGGTGAGGAGCATATATGTTCATGGTTTTCATATCTGTAAGTTTTGCATATATTTTTTTTCTTTTAAAGTAGATCAGAAGTATGAAGATAAAGCATTTTGTAAAAATGTGGGGTAATTAACTGTGGATGGAAATTAGAATGAGTGGAACAGTCAAAATTAGGCAACCAGTCTGGAAATCTGCATTCTAGTCCAGACACTGCCCCACTGCTTAACCATTCACAAAGCCCTTCTGGACATCTAGTCACCTTATCTGTGGACAGAGTTGTATTAAATAATTCCTAGAGTCCCTTTCAGTTCCAAACCTCATTCAGGTCCCCACACTGAATGTACAGGATTCTGCTAAATAAAGAGGGATGTCTGGCAGACCTTCCAGTGGTGAAGAAGATGATTGAAGTGAGCTTAAATTCTGCTGATAATCTTGTTATTATTGGAAATTGAATGAAAAGAGATAAAGATGGTTGAAATTTCTGACAATTGTAAAAATCATCTGAAACCCACTGTGACTAGCTAACCTATTAAGGTTGGTTCCTAATTTTGCTCACTATTGTATGCCAATCACCTAACACGCTGCAAGATCAGCATGTTGAATTATAAGTACAGGTTTCCCCTACTATCCAAAAGTATAGTGTACCTGTGAAATCTTTTGTAAGCCAAAATGGCATAAAGAAGCAATTACCATTACTTTATTCGGAAAAAGTTTTGAGTGTTCCCAGACCCAAAAAATAACCTCTTTTTGGCTTTTCTGATATTTTAGGACACATCTTGCTAATGGATGCACAAAATAAATCAAGATAAAGCATAGATGCTGTGGCAAAGCTATGGCAGCCTGATGCTGAGTGTAGTTCCTGGGGAAGGAGCTCGGTGGCGCCACTTTTCTCGGGATGTGTGCGGCCTCTAACTACTCACTGCAAAACAGGCTGAATGCTGTTTTTGCTTTTCCTTTGAAAAAAGCAAAAAAGCAAAAATTCTTTGGATTTCCTTTAGCTGGTGAAAACAGTATTAATGTAGGTCTTTCATAAAAGCAAAGTGCATAACATGAACTTTCAAAAAGTGAGGGATACATATGTGCTTTCATAAAAGATTAATGGGCTTCTTGACCGATTTACTTTATTAGGGCAGATTAACATGTCTCATAACAGCTTTAAAGTTCAGGAGGTGTAAGAACAAATGATACAGTGCCAGTTGAAAAGTTTTAGAGGGAAATGTGAAAATACATTTGGGGCTGGTATCCTTTATTTATCCACCCTTCAGCCTAGTGGGGAATGTTTTGGGGTTGCAGATTCAATAGATGGAGTTTCAACTCTTGATGTTTAATTTCAGGGGGGGAATGAAATAGACTGTAGATATGAAAGCAGAGGGGAAAAGTGATAGAAATATTTTGTATATTCAAATCAATCTTAAATTTTCATAATATTTATTGTCCTCTGGGTCATGGATTACCCTGGAAGACAGATGATAACTGTGGCTCCTCTTCCCAGGAAAATAAATGCACAGTCCCGGTTGTGTGAGCCATTTGTTGATGCAGCCATTGCCTTCTTGCCCTTAGTCCAAGTTCTTGATAGAAAACTACCCTGGAACGTTAAACCGTGAAAGCTATTAGAAATCATCTAGACCAGTATTACTTAAACTGTGCTTATGAAACCAGCGGAATTAATCAAGACCAACATTAGAAAGAAAAGAGAAAAATAAGATAGAAAATATCTGTACTATCATTACATGCTAAGTGTTTTTGTTTTGTGAACCGTCTTTCTCTTTGTGGGTGTGTGTGTGTGTGCGTGCTAGTACTGAGTCCGAATATAAAATGCATTTCTTACTGAGGATTGAAGGTGAAGACTGAGAAACACTCATCTATTCTAGAGAACCTCTTCATATTGTAGCTGAGGAACTTGATGCCCTTAAAGGCTAAATGATTTGTCAGACTCCCCTCCCCTTCAACACACACACACACACACATCAATTTTTTGTGGCTGAGCCAGGACTGAACCACATTACTTGATTGCTAGTTTTGCTGTGCCACAATACTAATTTTTTGAAATAGAATTGTGAAGTAGATTATTTCAAAATATTAAGTGGTTCATCTGTTTCACACTTGGCATTCTTTAATCCTTTATTTTTCCCACTAAAATGATCTCTGTTGTTTTCCTATGAAGTAATCTGAGCTTGGGGTGCCTGGGTGGCTCAGATGGTTAAGCGTCTGCCTTCTGCTCAGGTCATGATCCCAGGGTCCTGGGATCGAGCCCCGCGTCGGGCTCCCTGCTCTGGGGGAAGCCTGCTTCTCCCTTTCCCTCTGCTTCTCCCCCTGCTCATATTCTCTCTCTCTCTGTATCTCTGTGTCTCGAATGAATAAATTAAAAAATCTTAAAAAAAATCTGAGCTTGAGCTTCTTTTTCAAAAAATATTTTGAGGCCTCTTGGTTGGCTGTCCACACACCTGAATCCTAGAATTTTGACATTTAGGGCCTAATCAGAAGAATTTCAGAGTAAGACATCGAGGTTAAGTTTTATGACCAAACCAAATTAATCATTTTGAATTATTTCTTCACTCACTTGATAACTGAATGCAAAACGTGGCTCCAGATGTTGATACTGGATAACTGGGAGACCGGGTAACCTTCTTTATTTTAATCTTACATGAGGCTTTCTCAAACTTGAATGTCATACAGATTGCCTAGAGGGTCTTGTTAAGATGTGCACTTCTGATCCAGACTCTGAGTGAGTTTCTGGACTTTTCTAGCAGGCTCCCGGGCGGTGCCGCCGCCGCCGCTGCTGGGCCATGGGCCACACTCTCAGTCACAGGGGTTTTATGTTACCTTTTTTTAAACCATGGTAGGAAAACGAAGCTGGGAAGTTTTCCATGTCTTAGTTTTATTAACATTTTCATGCTTTTCAAATTGGCTACAAAAATTAAAATTCAAATGTCATTTAAATTTTTTTAATTGGATTACTTTTTGTATTTTAGAACATATCTTTAAAACAGCCATACTCCTCAGTCCCCACATTTCCCGAATGACAGTGCCCCTCTTTGCAGCAGCGTTCTAGGGGATTCAGAATGAGCAGTGCTTCGTGTAACTAGTATATTCAAGCTTTTCCACAGAACTTAATTTTCCTAATACCTAAAACCTTTAATTTCAGAAAGAACATGTTCTAAAACATTATATAATTTTCTTTCTTAAGCTATTGCGTGCACTTGTTATTTTAGTGGTATAGGAATAGTGTTTGTTCAAGGCTTTCTTGGTAAAAGGTGTTGAACTGCATGTGAAATGAATAAAAGCCACAAAGCCTTCTAAGTTCTTCTATCTACTTTTTGTGCTTTTAGTATTTTGTCTGTCCAGTTGACAATTATTAGTATGTCTATCTCAAAGCAGTCATTTCCCTTTCCAGTGTAATTGATCGCTGTCTGACCTGAAATGTATGGGACTAATCCTGGTCAGAAGGACCTCCCTGTCATGGGGGTTTTCCTAGGAGGTTGGTGTCAGGAAGTTCAGTAGCACACGTGTTCCTCCTTCATACTTTTCACCACATACTCTTAAAAACTGTTCTAGATCTCTCTCTCTCTCTCTAACGTGTGATTTGAAAGGGTGTGTGTGTGTGTGTGTGTGTGTGTGGTAGCCCTGTGATTGGGAACACACAATAATTGTAACCAATAAGCAGCACTTCAGGGTCCATCTAAAACAGGGATGAATAGCCTTGTGGTAAAGACCTTTGGTTCTCTTCTATATATATAGCCTGTCTTGTACTGGCTTTGCAGTTTTAAGAGTAATAATGATGACAATAAAGGGGATATTCCTTGGCTGTTTCATGATTTAGGGTCCCAGGGATTCAAAGTTTGATTTCAGTGTGTTCTCCTCAGCAGATTATTAGTTACAATAACCAGCATAGTGCATTTGTTGAGTCCTCGCTCTGTCGGGCGCTCATTATTCAGATGAATGCTGTGCCACAAGCAGGCTGTGGCCCTGAAGGCTGTGTTAGGTCTGGGGGACGGGGGGGAGCAAATGGCTGCTGCACTTGGAACCAATGAGAGGAATCCAGATAGACAGATAGGGGGAAGATTAAATCTCCTCATTAGTCCCTCTTTAGAAATAAATAAGCATGTGTGGAGCCTGTAGCAGGTGTTTTGTTTTTTCTTGCTCAACAAAGCTAGAAATTGTTGGGAGATTCACATCCATGAAAACCACATACATAGTAGTGGATAGTCTTCTGATTCAAAGCAGAGAGAACCTGTTTGCATTTTAACTAAGCAGCATCAGAACATTTATCATTTTGAATAGCCTTATTACTGGTTTTGTGTTAGAAGTTGTGGATTATATTCTTTAAAATTATGACAAGTTAAATGTAGCCATAACATTTAGGCTGGATTTTGAGATCCTGAGCAGGGCCCATCTGACATATTTTTAGTAAATTACAACTTTTAAATACAGATTTGTCTAATTTGAATCTTACTTTTTATATCTAAAATTTGCTTCAGTGCAGCTAAACCTACTGGTATAATCTTAGTCTGACTGAAAGTATTTTCTGATCTGGGACTCCTGTCAAAAGATCATCATAGGAACTAGAAAATGTTGGGAGGTAAAACGAACACATGACCTCATCTCTCTTCTTTTGCACTAAACTATAACGTGCATTCAAAGAGACTGGAAAAAGAAAAACAGCATTCCTTTCCATTAAGCTGTAATAAGTGTGTTGTTTAGTATGGCTTTGCTATTAATAATCCCTTTTAGCAGGAAGAAAGGAGGATTTTGTTTGAAGTATTTGAAACTAAATGCTGCCGGGATAAAGATTTTACTAGAAATACAGAGTAGATACCAGTCCCTACCCTTTGTTAATTGATCCTGCTTGTTTAACTGGGGAAATAAAAATGTACATCTACTGAAGAGAAATTTGTGAGCACAAACTGTTCCTTTCCTGTTTGCAGATCTATTTCATAGGTTGTTTATCTTATTTTAATATGCAGTAATACAGGAGACAACAGAATGCCACTGCTGTTCCTTTAATATCAGAGCTCTGCATGTTACAATAGGTGTCACTGTTTTGCTTGGTCCAATCATGATTGGTGACTTCAGCTATTGGCTCCGAGCACTGACTGTCTGACTCCATCTGCAGGGCTGTAATACCTACTCTCCTCCCATCCATTCACCACACAACTTCAGCCGGCTGAACAGACTCGCACGGCTCCAGCACATCTTGCTAACCTAATTCTGAAAACAAGTGCTACAGCTCGCTGCCTGTCATCTTCGCTCAGTGTAGCATTTTCAGGTGATCTAGGAAACTGGGTTATTTTTATGAGCAAATAAGAGAAATAAGAATCATGATGGAGATGTATTTAGCAGACCCAGTACTGGATAAAACTTAAAGCCAGTTTCTATTCAACATAGTGAAAAGGTCACCTTGTCCGGCTGAGAAAAGAAGCAAAATAGCAGCTTGTTGGTTTCTGTTAACATCTTGGCTCGTGCCAGCCTCTTTTCCTTGATGTTCGCACCAATTTGGGCTACCTAGCTATAAAGAGAGACATACTGTACTCATGGTAGATGACAAGGAAAAGAACATGAAATGTCTCACCTTCTTCTTGATGCTTCCAGAGACAGTAAAGAATAGGTCCAAGAAAAGCTCGAAGAAGACAAATACCAGCAGCAGCAGCGGCGGCAGCAAGTTGCCCCCAGTTTGTTATGAAATAATCACCTTGAAGACTAAAAAGAAGAAGAAGATGGCTGCTGATATATTCCCGCGTAAAAAACCAGCCAACTCCAGCAGCACCACTGTCCAGCAGTACCACCAGCAGAATCTCAGTAACAACAACCTTATTCCGGCCCCAAACTGGCAGGGTCTCTACCCCACCATTCGAGAAAGGTAAGTGCCCGGCCAGCATATTTACTTTAAAAGTTTTCCTGTGTTGAAGTTTCTGCTTTTGCACAACCTATAATGTATTTTAACATAAGTCTGTGTTTCCTCTTTTCCCAGAAGCTTTATCGGTAATGGAAAACTGCCTTGTATCTTTTCCAAAATAGTACAGCTGTTTTCCTCTTAGATAAAAATGTTTTTGCAAGCTGTGACATTTAAGTGACAGGCTTGTGTCTACTGACCATGGAAGGTTTGAAGATAGAAACCTTCTATTTGTCCTTAATCTAGTGAAAAGTTTGGATAATTTTTGGTTGGTTTTTTTTTTGACTTAGTTACTTCCCATGTGTTTGCAATGATCACAAACAGTTGTTTAGTTGGAATCTTGATTTGTAGTTTTACCCTGAAGTTACTAAACTGTTGCTTAGCTTGTGAATCTTTTGTGGGTTTTGTATGTTGGGGAGGGGATATTAAAACTGCTGGCTGCTGTGCATTAATGAATTGCCTCTGTTTATAGAAATGCAGTGATGTTCAATAATGATTTGATGGCAGATGTACATTTTGTGGTTGGGCCACCAGGTGGGACTCAGCGGTTGCCAGGACACAAAGTAAGCAACAGCTGCATTACCGGTTTAGTGCTGAGATTTACAAAGAGGGACCCTCTCCATAAGCCTGAAAGTTGGTTGGGGTGGGCAGCTTGCCGATGGCAGGCAGTGCGCATTTCACCCATCACAGAGAAGGCACAGCCTCTCCAAAGAGTCTTGGCCACGCTTATTTTTTTTTCCTTTGTTTCTTTCTATCCTGCTTTATATCCCACACAAAAACATGCCCTCCTAACTCTCCAGTCATGGGAAGTTGTTGCGACAGGTTAGGAAAGTCATGTTTACCCTTCCCCTAGAAATTGGTTAGATAAGCTTTTATTTTATTTATTTATTTTGTAATGAGAGAACTTAGACATTAATCTCTTAAAGCCTTGAGGTAGTTAGCAGCATAAAGACTGGCTTGCGTGAACATCTATCTTCTGCTTTCACCGCAAGATAAACACTGTCCCTTGACTTTGAAGAAAGAGCAGATGTAGGTGCTCCATGTCCACTAAACCCTGATTGCTTAGAGTTGTTTTTCTGGACTGATTTACTGAAAATGCTTTCAGTTTAGTGCATGAAATAAGATTTCCCTTTCTCCACAGTATGTTTTAGCTGTTGGGAGCTCTGTGTTCCATGCAATGTTTTACGGAGAACTTGCTGAGGACAAAGATGAAATCCGTATACCAGATGTCGAACCTGCTGCTTTTCTCGCTATGCTGAAGTAAGCATCGTTCGTTTGTTTAGAAAGAGTTTGTTTATGCTGTGTTTGTAGTCTGCTGGTTTCTCAGTTAAATATAAGAAAGGGAGACCGATGAAGAAAGAGGGTGCTGCTTACCTTGTAAATGGTTTTTGGAGAAAACTACTCTGCATCTTTCGGGGGAAAGCATGTGGAATGGGGCAGGCATTTATCATACACCTTGGCATGGGATTTGGGAGCAAGTGGCATGGATAGTGATTTGATTTTTAACGACTCACAATCAAAGAAAAACAACTTTCTCGTGCAGGATTATTTAATAGCGCATGTTCTCTCTGATAGCATTGTGTATGAAGGAGTCTGTAAAGACATAAATTATATTTTTGTTTCACAATTCCAGAAATAATATACCTCGTTTAAGTACCACTAGTTAAGAGATTTCTCAGTTTTCTAGGAGTTACTGTTTCCTGTCAGCAAATATAAAACTTGCTGTGTTAAAATAATCTGATCTTTGCCCATACGTACATGTGCATCCTCTTACATAAAATCAGATACCATTTCTCAAAGATAAAGAAGCATTTGCCTTTGATAGTAGAGGAGACATTTTTGAGAGAGATGAATAGTTTTCTATAGTTTTATATGTATTTTTATAGGAAAACTTTAATTGGTAGTATAAAAACGCAAAGCTGTAAGACATATACTTACTTAAAAAATAGTTTTCTGTCTCATAGGTCTTTCTCAGAATCCAGGACGTGTTGACCAGCTAAATAGAATCCGCTTCTCTGATGTGCACTGCTGCCGGACAGTGTCATAGTCTACCCTGTGATTAAATGCAGTGATTATTTCAAATAATGTTTTATGATTTTTGTTCAGTCCTCCTTCTGGCACACCAAGTATATCCAGTGTCCAAGGTTATCTACTGCTGTAGGGATTTTGGTTCCCTAGAATAAATATGTTTGTTAAAAAAATTATTGTGTGTCAACAAGTTGGACAATAATCCCACAAATGGTTAAAAGGTTGCAAGATATTTATTGACTGCTCCTACTGAAAAATAAGTACTGCAGTTAATTGTAGAACTTAAAAGTATTCTTTATTTATGTTGTAGTTTTGAAATCTAATTGCATCTGACTGAAACTTTCACAGTGGGAAATAGGGAAATTAAAGATAAGTGAGCATGTGAAGTACCAAAAGGTAAACTAATTCACCACTTTGAAACAACCAACACTTAGTGACCTTTCTAATCTTTTAGAGATACATGTACAGAAACCAGTTTTACCTGGGAAGGTTTTTGTTTTGTTTTGTTTTCCAGTCAAGTGAGCTTTGTATGTTTGACATTGTCTCTCGCAGAGGAGAACGCTAACACTGGTTCAGCATTTTGACTGCACTGCAGTCCAGCATAGGGTTTCAGCCAGAGAGAGACATAATTAGGGAACACAAGTAAGAATTACAGAATTATATTTCACCCAAGTCATTCCATTTGCATCTTTTCTTACAAATGTAGTACCTAGAATATATCTCAATACAGCTTTTTAAAATTATACATGCAGTCCACCAAAAGTGGTAAGAATCAGAAATGTAGTAAGGTGCCGTTTGCTGTTGGGCCATAGTTGATCAGGACTGCACTGTCACCACGGATAGTGGAGGCCAGTTTTTCCAGACAACTTTGTTGTATGGCTGAGTAGCCAGTATTCCTAGAAAGGGAACCATCAAGAAAAAGGGAAGACTGCTCACTTGACAGTTCCAGGGTAAGAGCCACAAGGTGCTGACCTTGTTCCAGATTCTTCACCATCGTCCTGGTTCTCGGGTCAGAGCATCACCGAGCTGCTGGTATTATGTGAGTCCGTCTTGGCCAGTGGTATATGGCTTAGCCTATCAGAAGAGAAAGAGCTTCCTGGGAGTAAAAATGGAGGTTCATTTGTGATTGTAAACATTTTTCTTATCATCATCACTGTGGGGTTTTTTACTTTCTTTACAGAAGCTGTTACTGATCTTTTCTTGTATGTGTTTCACTGAGTTAAAATATAGTAACTAAAGGAAAACTTCACAGCAAGTAGCTAAATACCTTAGCTTTAACTGGAAAAAATTAAGTGTTATCAGAATGTACTTTTCACCCATATGTAGTTCTCACTGACTCTTGTACTCATCCATGGCAATCTAAAAGAAGCAGATGATTTTTGTTTTTACATACCATATTGGGAGATTGCCACCATCCCCCCAAATCACCAAGAAGTGTTTTATCTCCTGACATAGGGATACTTTATAGAATCATAAAAATGGTGCATATTTGGGCTTTCTTGCTTTTGTCTTTTAATTAAATACATCCAGAAATAATACATTCTTTAATTCTGAAGGTAGAAGAAATGGGGGGAGGAGAGAAGAACGAATTTAGAGTTTAAAAAGAAAAAAAAGCCAGATACAAAGCCTGTGTTGGATTCTATGTAAAGGCAACTGGAAGATAATTTTGAAATCCATAGATTATAATCTATTGAACTTAGAACTACTTGAAAAATATCTTTCTTAATCTCAGGTTTTATTTTGTGTTTAGGGAAAATTCAAGTCATACTTAGTTAAAAGAATTAAGGTGTAATCATTGCCAACATAGTATTAAAGGCATTCTATCTGAATGTACAGAAAATTTTAAAATAAAACTATATATATATAGAGAGAGAGAGAGCACTTCTGAAACATAGGATTATTCCTTTTTTTAAAGAATTCATTTATTTATTTGAATGAGAGAGAGCGCACACAAGGGGTGTGGAGAGGAACAGGATCCCCACAGAGCAGGGAGCCCGACAGGACACGGGGCTCTCTGGACTTCGATCCCAGAACCCCTGGATCATGACCTGAGCCGAAGGCAGATGCTTAACCGACTGAGCCACACAGGCACTCCAGAGATGATTATTTGATTAAATATAATATGGTGTATTTAACATTAATTTTTCCCTTTTTTTTTTTTTTGTTAATACTAACTCTGATATACAGTTTTTTTTTCAAACAGTTCTAGTATCTTATGTTTTTTTGAGAAGACATTGAATGCAGGTTATAAAATAGAGGCTAGAATGGTAACACAAAGTTAATGTCTTTAATTATACAGACTTACTGCTGAGTTGAAATATTAATAATTTATGAACATATTTCAGATGTTTCTTTACTCCCTAATCATTTTTGTAATAACTGTCACATAAGATGATTTTCTTGGAACTAACTTGAAAGTAGTTGCATCTTTTCTTGCTGGACACGCTCGTTTTGTGAAAATTCCATTTATATGCTGTGTGCTGTCTTTCAGATATATCTATTGTGATGAAATTGACTTGGCTGCTGACACAGTGTTGGCCACTCTTTATGCTGCCAAAAAGTACATCGTCCCTCACCTCGCCCGCGCCTGCGTTAATTTCCTGGAGACCAGCCTGAGCGCCAAGAATGCCTGTGTGCTTCTCTCCCAGAGCTGCCTGTTTGAGGAGCCGGACCTGACCCAGCGTTGCTGGGAGGTGATCGATGCCCAGGCTGAGTTAGCTCTCAAGTCTGAGGGATTCTGCGATATCGACTTCCAGACTCTAGAAAGTATCCTCCGCAGGGAAACTCTGAATGCCAAAGAAATTGTGGTTTTTGAGGCAGCTCTCAACTGGGCCGAAGTGGAATGCCAGCGGCAGGATCTAGCTTTGAGCATTGAAAATAAACGCAAGGTCCTCGGAAAGGCACTTTACCTGATCCGCATCCCCACGATGGCCCTGGATGATTTTGCAAACGGTGCTGCCCAGTCTGGAGTTTTAACTCTCAATGAGACCAATGACATTTTCCTCTGGTACACTGCAGCCAAGAAGCCCGAGCTGCAGTTTGTGAGTAAAGCCCGCAAGGGCCTCGTCCCCCAGCGCTGTCACCGCTTCCAGTCATGTGCCTACCGGAGCAACCAGTGGCGCTACCGGGGCCGCTGTGACAGCATCCAGTTTGCGGTTGATAAGAGAGTGTTCATCGCAGGCTTTGGGCTCTACGGCTCCAGCTGTGGCTCTGCAGAGTACAGCGCCAAGATCGAACTCAAGCGGCAGGGCGTTGTTCTCGGGCAGAACTTGAGCAAGTACTTCTCAGATGGCTCCAGCAATACCTTCCCCGTGTGGTTTGAGTACCCAGTGCAGATTGAGCCAGACACCTTCTACACAGCCAGCGTGGTACTGGATGGCAATGAACTCAGCTACTTCGGACAGGAAGGCATGACGGAAGTCCAGTGTGGCAAGGTGACTGTCCAGTTCCAGTGCTCCTCAGATAGCACCAATGGCACTGGGGTGCAGGGTGGGCAGATCCCGGAACTCATATTCTATGCTTGAAAACCCCTCTCGAAGCGGTGTGAGCTCTGAGGTGCACATGTGGTTCCCACTCGCTTGATGCTTAGCTCATCTGCAGATACGTGATCAGCGCAGGTAATTCGTAATGAACGAAGCTGTAGGCAGTTTCTGATTTCTTTCAACCTTTTAATTATGTACAGGCAAAAATGCAGCATTCAGCTTTTAACTATATGCTTAAAAGAGCCAAGTTCTTCTTAAGGCTTTGTGGTTTTTAGAGTTGCGTCTACACACCTGGGGAGAATTTGTGCTCTTTTCCAGCTGCCCCACTGACCTCCCAGTTGTGTCCCTCTTAAAATTTTCAGGATCACCCTGAATTTCCTTTAGGGCTTTATTTTGACAAATAGAAATAAATACTCTAAAATAATAATGATAAGAGTTATATTTAAAGAGAACCCCACCCCAAATTACAGGTAAACCTCAGTGTACAATTTTGAAAGAAGTTTTGCTTCGTAAGTAATAATTTAGAAAGTAGGCAGTAGTTATGTTTAGCTCCTATTTCATTTTAAATATTTTACTCTGGGCATTATTTTTTCTTAAATCCTAAATTCATGAGATTGTTAAATGTTAAACACTGCAAAGTATCCATGTAAAATAGGAAAACAGGAAATGGGATGTTTGCTTAGGCCATGACCTACTACAAGCAGGTTTTTATTCTTTTAGTTTAGAAGACAAACTATTGCAGTACAGATGCTTCTTTTAGAACTAACTAAATTACACATTTTTATTGTCAATAGGGAAAAATCGCAGGCCTATTAATTTAAACTAAAACAGCTTATAAAGGAGACCTTAAAAAGTCCCATTCTACAAATAGTTTATTTCATGGCATAATAGAATATACCATTTGAAAAAGCCAGTCTTCTCCCCACTTGCTTCTGATCCCCACTGTTTGCTTGTGTTTGTAAGTTATACTGTATAGAATTCTTACTCCCTTTTTCCCGTGAAAAGAGGACCAAACAGTTCTTCAGATATATGGAGTAACAGTTTTGTAGCACTACATGTTAACGTAATAAGATACTTTTATTCATTGATTTTTCTTTTTTTCAATCCAAAATACACTTTACCTGATCTACTTTGACCACATACTACCTTCTTCGTTAATTATAATTCTGTCCTGTTCCTAGACTGCTAGAATTTGGCCTTTGGCCATCCTTAAAGTGCCAATAAATGCCTGCAGGGTTTTAAAAAAAAAAAAAAAAAGGTCTGGAGCGATACACTTGATTGTACCTAATATTCACTGCATCAGCATCACATCCAGCCCTCTTATTTGTACATGGTTAATGTAAACAAAGGAGGGAAAAGCTCATCCCAAAATTCTCCTTCAGTGATGGCTTGTGATGGTTTTGTGCCTGTGACCCTGGTAGTGTCCAATGTGTTCACTTCCAGTTGAAGTATCCATGTGTTTCTGGGCAGCTTTTCTGCTCAGCGCGATCCTGAGATGGCTTCCCCCACCACCCAGAGTGTGGTCCCTGGCCGCCTCCTTCTCCTGCTCTGCGAGTCCCAAGCTGGCTTGTTTGGAGCCAGGGGTTAGTCCTGGGGTGGGCGGGTGTGTGCGCGATGTGGGCGTCCGTGCACGTCCATGTGCATGCAAGTGTGTTTGCCGACTCAGGAATTGTCTCCTCCCTGCCTGGCCAGTAAGAGGTGGGCCAGAAATGGTCCCCCTGCTGGCCCCAGCAAGGCCCCAGGAAGTGACTACCCTTATCTTATTCACTGTGCTTCTGGGCCACCTTTTCCCCCCGTAGATGTGGGCTTGTTGCTTTTGGCTGGCTTCCCTGGTGGAGGAGAACACTGGATTATGGGAAATGTTTTAATCATGTTTGCCATTACCTATGTCTGTTAGCGTAGATAATCAAAAGCTGTTACTGGTGATTATAGATGAGTACTCCCAGGACAACTTTCCAAAATTATCTAACAATTATTTCTTATTAGGAAGATGACAGTAGTTTTGGCAAAGTATCTATGAAATAAAGGTATGTTTTCAATTTAAAAAATACTTCTCTAAAGGATTTTGCTTTTAAATTATGATGAAACATTTCGGTAACTCATAGCTACCATGCAAATTGGTAGGCTGTATACCTGATTAGAAGGCACTCAGTTTTAAGCCAGAGGAGAAGAAACTTGATTTAGCACTAATGTCATCATCTCAGATTGTTGAGGTGGGTGTGATAACCTTAGAGTGAAGATTGTTCATTCAGTAACGCTCACTATCAGTGCTCCTGTTAGCAAGATGCCCTCCACGTGGGTAGGGAACTGCTGGGGGAAAGCAGAGGGAGATACTGTACACTGGGGGTATGAGAGCTTGGTTTTATGCTAATCACCGTTAGCTAAAAAAGGAAGACACGTCCACCACCCGATTGGCTGGTATCGAGAGCCGTGGGTTAAATTTGAAAATTGTATTTAGAATAAGAAATTTTGTATTTTAAATCCTATTCTCCCTTTTGCATTTTCAACAACATGGAATGAAAGCTAACGTGCTTGCTTTATTTCCTTTGGTAATCTCGAATTTTGTAGCTTTTAAAACTAGAAACCATTGTTCTGACAAGGCAGGCAACTCTAGTGTATAAACACAACTTTATTAAACAGAATACTCTGTAGATGCTTTTCCCAATATATCTGGCAGTCTTTGTCGTTGTTCATACTGGGGATAAAGGGGAACTAGGCTAGTGGTTCTAATGTAACATTCTTTAAGCATATCTTAATATAGTATTTAAGTAAATGGTCTAATTTCTACATAATTATTGCACTGAACTGTCTTTTTGTTTTTTAAGGTGTTTAAATAAGCTCAGCTGATTCAAGACACTAGCACTTGTGCATCAGAGTGCTTGAATTTAGTAGCTTACAGCATTATTTATGAAGGAAAAATATATAAATATGAAGTACCTCATGTTGAATGTTATTGTACTGTATTTTTAATGTAACAGTGCAGATCTTGTTAGACACATGAATGTGTATAATCATGTTAAATGCAAATAAAAGTAAAATTGGTTCATAGATTTGTTTTCCTTAGCATTTTTGTAGGTCCCTTGAAACAATAAAAAATCCATTCTGGCACTTTTGGTGCCACTGAATTTCACAGAGATGGTTTTGCAGGAGCATTTGTTTGCTTAAGTATTCAGATATCTTTGATCCCTAAAGATGTAAAAATTTGAGGCAAAAGCATCGAGAACAATGAATATGTTAATCAATCGCATTGTTCGAAGCCTGACTGTGAAGTTAATGAAAGGGAGTGAATGGGTGCATTTATATTCCCTATATGGAACTCATGCTTTGCTGGCATTCTGATGCTATAGTCGCTCACATATCTGTGGATCTGGCTGTACTGAGGGGGTGTGGATGGATACTGAATCACATCTAGCTTTAGATGTAACCAGTGCTGCTTGTTCCTGCTTTGTTATAATAGCTTAAGTCTCTGAATGAAAAAAATAAATGTCCTATGAGAATTTTGAATATAATTTTTATGTGCTCAGCTAGTTTTCCATTATATTTGCCCGTATCAAGTAATACATATACACACACGCACACACATTCATACATAATTATATATACCCGGGCATATATTTGTTTAATCACTTCATCTGCTCAGCCTCTGTAGCATACCTGCTCAGAGGAATTTTGGAATTATTCCAGAGAATAAAGAAACTGGAAATACTCATTCTAGTCAGCTTAATTACAGATACAACCTAAATTGCAAAGGTCTTTAATTCAGGAAAGTCAGCTGTTTTCTCAGTTGCTATTTAAACTTAATCCACATATGGTTGTTTTCAATATCCCAAAACAATTGGAAATGATCCTCCTCTGTTGGCACCCAGGATCAACATGTCACGGAAATTATCTCTTCTCCCTGTGGACTCGATGGCTTGCCTACAAAAAGCCATGAACTTAAACTTGGGAAAAAATAGAAAGGAGGAAAGTACTCCTGACGAACTAAATTGTATGAAACGTAGAGGCCGAAACAAGCAAGTGGCCCTGAAAACCTGTGGTTACCCTAAGTGTTCATTAGAGTAGGACTCTGGGTGCCTTTGAGATGTGTCGATGGAAGTTGACTACACTTTCAATTTCAAATTAGTACATTCCAACATCTTTTTCTGAGCCATTTACATTTATTGACCAACTACTCCCTTTGCTCAACACTTCATGTTATCCTCCACTTTTTAAAATATATCATCTAGCAAAACAAAAAACTGGGGAAATTTTTCAAAAATAGAATTCCCTCAGTTATTTCATAATATAACCACCCTAAGCACTGGTGAAAAGACCTCAATCAAGATACTGCCCTGTGGATGAGATGGAAGTATTGGTGAGGCGGAGTTGAAGACGTGGTTGACCCGGTCCCACACCAAGCAGCGTAAGCCACTAGCAGCATAGATCAGTTGCTGAAGAACCTTTGGATGCGTTTCTCACTTGGGCATCTCCCCTCTCTGCTGCCTCTTTTAAGCCTTTTTAGAGGGAGTGTGGCAGGGGAGGTGTAATTCCCATCAATGCCAACCCTAACTATCCTGATGACCCTTGTTTTCTATTTGCCCGTTCATATTGACGTCCATCGGACAGCAGTTTTACTAGCAGATGCAATTTTATACTCTGCCATCTACAAAGTCCTTAACCTCAAGATAGTTAACCAAAACACCTGCTCTTTACTTTGTCTAACGTGTACTTTAATTCTGTGTACCGGACGTGATTCAAGTGATCTATTCAACTATCAGCACTTTGGTGTTAGTTTGCCCCAACTGATTTCTCTTTAAGCTGGTTTTGGTAGTAACCAGTCTAACTGCTACGAAGGCAGGAGGGGCTTTGTGTCAGACCTCAAGAATGGTGTCCTTTTTCCCTTTGTGGAACAACAGTACCAAAAATTATTTCAAAATTCAGGCACTTTATTTGTTGTTGTTTACAACGTTGGTGAGCAGTTTATATTTAACAACTATGTCTTTATCAGTGTGTTTGAGAGGAGTGAAATTATACCTGAAAAAAGTTGAAAAACAAGTCCTACTAGTAGCTTTCTTAATTTTAGCGTAAAGTGCTGCAAGAAAGCTTTCCAAGCAGCAGATAGCATAAACACTGTTGTGAGAAACCAGAGAATCTGAGATACTTTGATATGGAGCAGTCTTTACTGTGGCTGTACAATTTGCATTTTCCTTCCTAAACTATATTCAAAAAATAGGCAAAAGAAAGAGGACAATTTAAGGAAAGCTGCAAATAATCTTTCAGAGCTTGAAGCAGAGGGTACCACCTTCTGCTGTACGGTAGAATACATAAAAACGTACTTTTGAGAGATAACTCTGCATTTTTGTGCTTTTCTTGATCAGCCCTAAACTTTAAATTATTTCAGTGCCCCTAAGAATAGTGCCAAAACACCCTAGCCAATTCAAAATTAAAGACAAATTCCAATTCTAAGAATATTTGGAGGCATTGGTGGAATACTCCATGTTTCCTAGGTAAAAGACATAAGGTTTAATGAATCAAAGGATTAACCCAATGTTCGTTCACCCATTGACCATTTATTGATCCTTTGCTTTATTCCAGTCAGTAAGAGAGATCCTGGGGAGTCAGAGACCCAATAAGATGTGGTATGTGTTCTCAAAAGGTCCAGGGCAGGGCTGCTTCGCCCTCAGCATGCAGAAGAATCATGAATTGCCAGGTTCTATCCCCAGAAATTCTGATTGGGTAGGTCTAAGTTGAGGCCTGAGAAACCACATCAGCAAGCTTCCATATGCTGCTGCTGCCGTCTGTCGTTCACATTTTGAGGGACCCCTACAGGGTAGGAGAGAAATACCTTGGCTCCTCCTGGAGCACTGCAAAGGGCATCCAGGTCAGTGGGAGAAGAGATAATGCTTGAGTTGGGTTTTGAAGGATGCATTAGAATTATCTAGTGAAGGCTGGTGATGCCAGTTGGAGGGGGCAGGGAAGAGTTAAGGGAATTCTAGAAGAGAAACAGAGCAGAAAGGCAACAGCTCAGCGTGGCTTAAGCAAAGGGACATGTGGGGGAACGAGGCCACCTACTGTGTGCCAGGTGTGGAGCCAGCTAGCGAACTGGACCTGAACACGAAGTACATCATCTGCTAGGCTAAATTACCTGGCTTTTATCACAGAATGAAACAGTGGCATTGAAGACATTAGAGATAGACCAGAAAACAGCTTTGTGTTTTAGAAACATCTTTCTGAACTTTGGGAATAATAAACTGGGTCAGACCAAAGACAGAAGTACTTAGGGCTGGGCTGGGAGTAATGCAAATGAAGACCGAAGGGCGCCAGGGAATGGAGAGAATGATGAAGATTCTAGAAACATGGAAGGGTGATCCCCAGCGTGCAGTGGTTGTAGCATCCAGTTGAAAGAGGGCTTGGTGAAGATGGAATGCCTTGCCTTATATTTATCCTAAAGGAGAAAAGTTTGCTTTGTTTTGCTCTACCATCCTCTGTAGAGAATTGGTCTATAGATACCCACCCTTGATTCTAAAATTCTTTTAGGAAGAAGGGAAAAACAGTCAACATAGTGTACTGGTTAATAATACTCCAGAGCTAGGCTACAGGGCTCTGGCTGCACGTGACTCCAGGCAAGTCACTTAACCTCTCTGAACCTCAGTTTGCTCAAGAAAGATGGCAATAATAATAGGGCCTTCCTCAGAGGGTTATTACGATGATGAGAGAAATTAAAATTTCGAAAGCACTTACAACAGTACCTGGCAAACAGGAAGTGCCATATAAGTGTTAAGTAAAACAAAATGTGAAAGGCCACAAATTAAACGTATGCATCTTCCTCATATATGCCCTTACGAGAACCAGTTTACTTAGAGTTTACACACGCTTAACAAGTTGTCAGTGCAGACAATTCAAAAGCCCAAAAGCATCATTTTGTTGCTGTTCTTTTAAGTCTCGGGTCAATAGCTAAGGAGTATATAGAGCTTACAGAGAGTGGTATTGTTCTGTACTGTTGAGGAATTCTCTCTTAGTTTAACCAAATTTCTTATAAGTATTTCAATTTGGTCATGTTAACGAGAGGTAAATGATGTGGGTGGATTCTAGCACCTTAGATAGGATTCTTCAGAAAACTACTCTGTAAAAGCTGACTATGAGTACATAACAAGTGTATGAGAGACCCTTTGAAGACATTTTCCAAGAGGAGTCTATTTGCAGGAAGAAAAAAAATATCCTGTACAGGTTCTGTTAGAATCAAAAATAAGCTCTTTATTCTTGGCTTACAATCTTAGACAATTTTGGATATCACCCCTTCTCCAGATATTTGGGGATTAAAATCCATTTTAGTATTGAAATCATTTGTTGTATGTTGAAAGCAGGTTTGACCTTTATTTTGAGTGATGTGAACATCACAGGGGGCAATTGAATGGCTGATTGTCTATTCAAGTAAACAAAGGTGTGCCCCAAGTACTGGCAACTCTTGAGTTTGCCTGCTCTTGTGGGCTCTTGGTCTCCCTTCTACTGCCTTCCCCGTGAACGTTCCCCCATCTGCAGACTCACCTTCTGAGCCAGTGCTATGGCTTTATGTGACAAGGGCCCTGACGTCAGCTAATTTCCAGTCCCTTGTTCAGGGCTGGATTCTCTGTTTTGCACAATAAGCTTTTAGGAGCCTCACTCCCCAGAGCTTCTCATTCTGGGGCCAGTCACTTTTATCTGAAGCTCAGGGCAGGTGTGTAGGGATCCTGATGCACATGAAAGGTTGGGAACCCCTGGTATAGACAAGCCTCCTAGAGCCTTTCCTCACATCCGCATGGACATCTAGCTTTAGCACCTTGCTCCTTGCCGGCGATCCTGGCAACATACGCTCTCAGAAATCAGTCTTGTGCTTATGCCCTGAACCCATGGAGCTTGGAACTGGCCCCAAGCAAAACCACAGTCAGCATTAAGTGGATGAAATAAACCAAGGGAATCAGAAGACCTAGCTTCTGACTTTAACTTCTTGACCCTGACCTCTGCTTGTTATTCTTGCTCTGGCCAGTCTTCCTGTACCCCCCAGTCCTCCATCTGAACCTCAAAAGCCCAGAGATCCAGTTTGTTCAGTGGTGCCCTGGTCCCAGCTCTAATCTAGTTGACCATGTCACCTGCCGAAGTTCTGATCACCATTATTAACTGGTCTTGGTGCCTGCCCATGTTTGGGACCCCAGTTCTGAGCCCCATCTCGGTAACCATTCCACTTCCTTCAGACATGTGCTGGCCTATGCATTCAACCTGCAGGGTCTCTTCTCCCAGGCAGATACTCCTGGCCACTGGTCCTGACAGAGCCCCCTGTCCAGCCTCTCCGATTGCCCCCATTCTCTGTTCTTTTCTTCTTAACATTTGTGGTAGCTTCCCATTGCTCAGGTAATGCCTAACAAACACAAAAACTCAGGAGCACACAGCAATACATTTATGCTGTGGTGCCTAAGAACAGCTGTGCGTTGTCTTGGCAGTTCTACATACTTGATTGGGCTCACTCACGTGTGGGTGTTGGCCTTTGACTGTGGCA